AGACTTTATTCAGTAAGAAAAGCTGATTCTCTACCTCTTCCCCTTCAAGTCTGATTTAATTTCTCGAGGCTATAAAATCAGCTACAGTCCCTGGGGAAACAGTAACGTTTTTATAGATATATTCCCATGTGATAATGGCAACTATTACCAATTTTGGTCAAATGTAAAATTCTAGTGCAAGTCAGTTCAGAAATCTGCCTCAAACAAATTGGAGAATAAATAACAATCTTGTATTAATACCTACTCTGAAGAGAATTAATAGGTATTCATGCATGTATTTCTTGCTTTTTTTCCTTAAGGAAGAACATATGAAAAATAAAAAAAACCGCTCACACAGGAAAACCAGCCATACAACAGAATGCAGCCAGCAAAATAATGACAAAGTTGGAGAATTATAGCAGAAAAGAGATAACCTCATTACCAAGATCATCCAGTTAAAAGGCAGGGAAGGTGTTTGCATGCAGTACTACAGCCTCTATAAAGAGCTGGAAGAGGAGGCTGGGAAAGACCTACTTTTCTTACAGTTTCTCTTTGGGTCAGCTGTAAATTTCAATTGTGATGTCCAAACAAATATGTTTTCTCAAAGATAAAATATTGCTCATGCAAAGAAAGCTAATGTAGAAGAAAGAAAACTATGCAAGAAAAGAACCTGAAATAAAAGAAAAGAGATTTTATCCTGATAGCATTTTGATATACCAGCTTTTGCATGCCCGAAAATTCTACTTTTTCACTGAAGGTGAATAACCTCTGTCCCATGAGACTAAAGAAACCACAGCTAAGCAGCACTGAACTATAGTTCTTCCCAGAAGCACTCACACAAAGGAAAACAACCAAACAGAACTAAGTATGAGAACAATTAATCATTGCACGATGCATCTACTAGGGTTGGTGCTCTGGGCAAAGACTTGATTTCTTTGTCACAGAATGTGTCACTAATTCCAGATGTCCCACTTTATCAGATGAAAACATGAAGCCTCCTGGCCAGTACGACATACTACATTTGATAAAACCGTAGCACTTCAAAAATGTTCTTAATATTCTTCATTACAGTGGGGAGAAACTGTTTTTGGATCCCTGGTGGGATGCGAATTCTGGGATAGTGACAAGACAGTCACTCCCTAAGAAATAAATATCCCTTCCAAAGACAAACTGATTTAGAGCCAATAACGCAGCTTCTTTGCCTAAAAATGATCTAGCAAAGGTAGATGTGAAGACCTATAATTACTGCTAAGCAATGACACAATTACTGACTAAATGCATGGAGGAGGTATTACAATAGGATCTTGTTTGTTGAGTTTTGTTAGTGTATGCTATGCCATGTGTTTTTGCTTAAGTTCAAAAAAACTGCAGCAACTCTCCCATCCTCATTACACAGAGATGAGGCCAGATACCAGCTACTCTTCCACATGAAAGTGTTTTATATTCTTTAAGCTATATCTAGTGAGAAATCCTATTAACAGTCAGGCATTTCTCCAGCCTTGTTTGCTGCTCATTTCCAAACAACTCTTTCTTTTTGCTTTAGCTACAAAGGTAAATTTAGCAACAAGGCGTTCTGTAATTAACAATCTCACCAACACTATAAACAAAGTTTCTATTGCTTATTCATTGATAAATTTAATACCGCAAGCAGTGCACATGCTGGAGAATCTCTGAAGGAATATGAACAGCACGTGCTTATTCATCCCCCCATAAGCTACACTGATAGAAGCACTTGCTAGAAAGGAATGCAACTACAAAAGAAGAAACTTCAATTTAAACAGAAAACTCTGCCATATAAGCTAAATAGGTTGAGATTGCTGCAGTCTCCTCATTCTTCACAGGAGAAGCTGCTAGAGCAGGCTTGGTTGGTGCTGGGAAAGAAACATAGCTAAGAGTAAATTAGACCATTGCAAATGGTGAAACATGGGAGGCACTCCAACATCCAGGTTAACATTGAAACAATAGCCAGGAACATGGGAGGGTGCTCAGAGGTTTGTGCTCACAGGACATCTTGACATTTGTAGCTTTTAAGAGTTCCAACAACTTGTTACGGTTTGCAATGACTCCTAAGTTGGCTAATTTCATTGTGTTCCTGAAGGATACCCCTTGCTTTGGCTACATCCACACTAATAAACTAAATGGGGGCCAAATCAGGAAATGACTAGAAAAAAGGAGAATTATTTCATGAAGAAATGCTGAGTGTTGAGCTTTCTATGTTATATTGCACACATTTTAGCACCTGGGGATGGAAGAACTGTTTTTACAATTAAATTTTTGGGGGAAGAAAATAAAGACCTCTGATGAACTGTGTCTATATGATCAGTATAATGCCTTCTCTTTGATATGATTGTCTTTAAAGAGCAGTAGTCTTGTCCTGAAAATCTCTAAGCTATTTCTATTATTTTATATTTAATTTATGTAGATGTTTTACTCCAAATTAGTGCAGCTCTGTAAACCATGCTCCTCAAAAGCGTCTTTCCCCTAAAGACTGCAAGACTAGAATTGTTCCTTGCTGGAACAGTAAGATCAAGTGATAGATGAAAAAAGACTTCTCTCAGCTTTTTTTGGAGATAAAGCAAAGAAAAACATAGCTATGAGTATGAATTTAAAAATCTTTCAGCTAAAAGCCTGGAGAACAGACAAAAACTTTAATAAAAGAAAGCAGAAATGGAGGATTATCTTCTAAGCTACTAAGAATCTCTTGACTTCCTAACTTCTGCACTTTCAAGCTACATAGAAGAAGTTTCTAGAAGTTTCTTGGAATATGCAGCACTAAACTAAGAGTGAGCTCATCCTGTAACCTTATTTCACAAAAAAGTCCTTTTGCATTTGGACTATGTCACAACAACTTGAAAATGTTAGGTTATATTCAAAGTCCTCAACAAAGTCTTCCAGTCACCAACCCAGCTAGAGCTGGCATCTATAAACTCCAAACACCTTTCACGGGGTGAATCCTGTTGGAAATCCCAGCTGTTAGTGTGAGAAGGCACAGCGCAGGACTCCTGCCCCATCTGTTCCAACACAGCACGTCTCTCTACACTCTGTCAACTATCCTGACTGCTCTTTTTTTTTCCCATGCACATCCCAGCTCTGATAGCCTTCATCTTGCGAAAGCACGTGACTTATCTCCACACTGCCTGCCCAGGTCAGTTGTTTGGATATCATTAGATTGCCCTGACTGAAAGCCCTAATGAGGTGCTGATCCCATCATCAAATCACTCGGCTCAGCTAGAACGTGTCCCGCGGGTCAGCTAGGGAAGACTGATGCAAGAATTCCAAGTGATGTGTAACATGAAAGGGCGCCATTCGCATCGCTAGGACTCACAGCCTGTCAGCACAGCCATTAGAAATCCTGGGTTACAGCAATTTATAATTCAACCCTCCCACACACAGAAATTGTTCCAGACTGAAACTTGGCACAAAATTTAGTCCCAGGAGGGCATTTAAAAAAAAAAAAACAAAACCAACACATTCAACTGTTTCTGTCCCCTGGCTTCAGCTCTCAGCTATTTAAATAACGGCAATTTCTCATTTCTCTTTTTAATTGAGGAAATCCAATATAAAACACCAAATTTACATAACATTGCAGTGGTCATACAAGCTGGCAACAAACCCAGGAAGAAGGCTGCCAGAGCTGTTCCGTCATCTCCTTTTGGTGAATTTGTCCATTTGGATTCCATTTAATGGAATGATTTTTATTAGGTCTAGCTGACATCACGTGCAATCTGCAAATCCTATCTCTACCCTGGTCAGGCAGCCTGCCCTAGCCTTGTACACCTTGTGTGCCTGTTTGAAGGCAACAAGCCCTCCTGTGCCCAATACAGCACTGCCATTTATGCTGCCATTGCTGTTTCTTATGGTTTTTGCTGCAAACTCTGCTGGTTGATTTAGAGGACAGTAATTAGGTGCTTATTGAGCTGCAAAAGACTGACAGGACATACAAAACAAAAAAGAAGGGAATTAATGCAAGCCAGAAAAAATTTGTCAGCAAAGTCTTTGTTTTAATCAGAGACTGTTCTGACAACTGCCACACCTGCTTCCAAGGCTAGAGAGAGAGACACAGTCAGATCCAAGCCTATTGGGGCTACAGTCCCATCTCCATCAGGTATTTTTAACTCCAAGGGGGAGGCCAGCCATCTGTAATCTTGAGGCCGTCAGGGAAAACATTCTCTGAAGTTGAAGTGATACAACAAACAACAAATAAATCAGACTTCTGGAAGTCTGCAGCTGATCACTGCTGTGAGTATATCCTTTCCGCCCCACCATTATTCACCCAGAGAGGCCTCTGGTGGTAGCACATGCGCGATGGTGAGCCCCACAAATTCATAGTCTCACTCCCACAAATATACCATCTGCTGGGGTGGGCTACCAACTCCCTCTCTCACCACCACCAGTACTACTCCTGCTGTCCCATGGTGCAGCCAAGATGTAGCCCCTGCCGCCAACACTCCAGCTGGAGGACAGGGCACTGTAGCAGATCATCACCAAAGCATCTGAATAGATTTTTCCTATTTGTTACACAAGACCACAAGTAGCACCAATTATAAAGTAATTATATGACCAGATGCTACAAGACAAGAGAAAATATTTGCACCAATGGTCAACCCAGGTGTTCCAGAACTTTAGAAAGAGCACTGTTACCTGTTCTTCAAAGAAATACTGACTAAAAGGTACTTTAAATCAGTTTGGACTCTTGCTGCTGCTATGAGTCAGGATGCTAAAAATCACAGCAATCAGCGATGTCAAAACGCTCCTTCCAGAATGTGGTCATAGGTCAGAATGGCATTGTTGCACTGACTCTCCCTGTGGACTAAACCATATGCCTTAAGCCCAGCCTGAGGGCCACACTCCAGCTGTGGAAAGCCTGGTTTCTCAGAATATCTGGTACAGCGCTTTTCTGGAACAGGAAAGAAAGCACAGCCCAAAGGACCAATTGAGCATTCCAAACAAAAAAACAAGATGGCAGGGCAAACATCTGCAGAACCACCTTCTTGTTCAACAGCTGCATAATTTTCGCATACCTTGTCCTTTAATTCCAAAGGGAGGTACAAAGTCCCTGATACGTGCCCATTTCCTGAAGGAATCATCCAAGAACATTGGTGCCGGCTTGGAGAACCTGAGAAAACCAAAGCGAGAAAGAAATTAACTTCTTAACTAGGAGGAATAAATTTCTGTAGGATGGTTGAGGGTCCCCATACCTAAGTGCTGGTTCTACTACCTCACTGGCAGCAGAACAATGTGGAGGATTTTACTTTTACCCCAAAGTGCCCGCAGTGGAATGAACGTGTCAGGTAGGACCTGTGCCACAAGGACACCCAGGGCACTCAAGTCATCAGTCTGGCAATCACTTCCACTCAATGACACAGAAGGACACGCCAAACTTCCTATTGTTTGGCTTTCAATTCAGCTACAATAAGCTGAAAATTGCAATCAGAGTTTTGACAGTTTTACTTCAAGCTTTGTAGGCACAAGTCAATTTATATGCCGTCCATGCCAGTGTGTGAAAGTGTGTGAGGCACAGGCACAGAGTTAGATGTAACCAACAGTGTACTAGCACTGTATTGGGCAGGTGTGAATGCACTGGACAAATGTGTGTGAAAACCGAGGCAGGAGTTATCTGCCTTCAGGGCTACTCCTACCTCATTCATATGCACACATACAGCAGCTATCCTAACAACTGCCAGACGGAAACAGTACAAGAGATTAGGAAGTAGCACTTAGTTTACAAAGAACAGAAACGCGGTACAGATTTGTGTTTTCTTCTGCATTCCTTAACCTACAAATGATTCAAGAGATGTTGTAGACAAACCAAACGCTTGTGACCTATCCAAAATCACTTACAAAAAGAGAAGTAGTCCCACTTACCTGTGCCATTATGGAAATACATCTTAATTAATATCTTCAACAGAAACACAACAGCTACTAAAAATCTATCCTTTTTTTTTTTTTTTTTAAGTAGTCAATATAGTGTTCAGATAAAAGGAAACAATTAGCACTTTGCATGCAAAAGAAACTACAGAAGTATTAACTTCCATGCTGGCTACTTTTTAAGTGCATCAAAATCACTGCTAGCAAATATTCTAATGCCTACTGGAAATCTCTTTACTTCATCATATCAAAACGGTAGCAGAGATGTTCCCGATCAAAATCGGACCATGCTGTAGAAACGAAGAAATGAATTTACTGCATGTTTAGAGTCAGAGAGCGTACCTAACTCAACAGCCAATATACCATGCTCTGATCTAGATCTAACCTCGCTAAATTAGGTAGTGGTAGCAGGCTAGATGTAAAGCGTAGGTTTAACCCTCTCTTCAGGTTGGTCTTACAGGTAGCATGCAACTCCTTGCTGCTGCAGTTAGATAACTGCTTGTACCCGAACAGCCCTATTTAACATAGATTTGTCAGCACTGTGCCACAGCCATATATGCAGAAAGAGTTTCAGACAGCAGCACAGTGAAGAAAAGATGGAAAAAATTCTGAAGTGCAAACTGCTCAAAATACAGGGCAATCGCAGATGAGCAGTAAATCACAGATTGCAGAAATCTCTAAGAAGGGGAAAGAGAGAGACCAAAAGTATTTAACAAACTGAGAACAGAATGACTCAAACTCACCCATGCATACCGCTTCACATCCACTCATGCAACATCTAATAGGATAATCTACTACCATAAAAGCAGGATGCGCAGATTACTTGGCTGATCTAGAAAGAAAGGAATGCTTTTCTAGAGTACACAAGAGGGCTAAGGATATGAAAGGGTTTATAAAACTTTATTAAGGAAAAGGTAAGGAAGATGTGATAGACATTAAGATTTTCAGAAGCTCTAAGTAAAAACTAAAAAACCAGGCCTACTTAAAAAAAAAGAAACGAACTGCATAAACAATTCTCTGAAAATATCCTAAACTTTCAATAACCTGGCAAATTATATAGGTATATAGGTGATTTAGGTGATTTTTTCAAGCATCTTCATATATAGAAATATTAAGTATTATGTTACACTGGCGTTATCTCCATCTCCTTCCAACATCCCTAGGAAGGATCTGTGCAGGATTTTCATATGATGCAAGAGCATTTATAACCTGGATGGCCACAGCACAGATGTTCACAGCTCTTCCTGTACAGTTATCACTTGAATTAACAGCAGAAGTTCAGTCCCACAGTGGGAAGTTCAGTCCCACAGAGTGGCCCTGATTTTCCCCAGCAGCAGCAGCCCCAGTGAAGGAAGCAGCACTGCCGAGCATCGCCAGCACCGTCGCATTGGTTATTGAACTACTTTGGTTACTTCTGTGACGCACAATCTTCAGGATCAGCTCCTGCCCTTCAGAAAGGGCATATGTGAGCAGGTTTTAGTCTCCCCTTGAGAGTCAAGAGGAGCATAAAAGGTAGTATAAGGTAACAAAGGAGGTATAAAATCAAGAACCTATCCACTTCAGTTGGCCTATTCAAGGGTACTGCACGAAAATGAAGGTGCAGGCTGTAGAGTCAGACCTCACTCAAAAGTCAGTCAGTGTTTATCAATAATATTAACTGACCTATTTACAAGTCAGATTTCCGGAACAGACAGTTTACGGCAGTCTGGCATGCAGTATGGATGGCTTTACCTAATGCAGATTCCCCCTTAGAAGGGGCCAGAAGGGAGGTTGGATGCTCCTGGGACTCTCCAGGGAAGTCACGCCCTCAAGGGGAGCCCCAAAAAGCAGCCAAAGCACGAGCAGAGTTGATCTGATGCCTCTTCAGTATCTCTTCTGCATGGGGAGGCCAGGGGATCGAAGTAGTGCCTGAAGAGAAGGGTGAAGTGACTATCAGCCTCATTACTGGTCTTGCCATGAGTAAATTGAAGAATTTTCTAGTTAAGAACAGTGGCCTTAGGCCACCTACTATCATTTGGTAATATTTAACACTATTGTAAACAGAGCCAGGGAAACTGACTTTTAATGCACATTTTTGCTTTATTTAAGAGGCAGGGAGGAACAGTTTTGGGGAAAATATTATATCCATATGGGGAAAAAGAGGGAGAACGAAAGGATATTTAGCTCCCATAAATCTTCAAGATAATTCCATTTTGGAAATATTAAGAGACCATGAACGCTATAAGCTCATGATCTATGAAAAGCACTTTGCCACCTCAATAAATCAGAGCAGGCAAGAACCGATGTCCAGCAGTGACAGGGAAACGCTGTCTGCCAAGCCTCTCCAGGAGCATGGCTGTTCTGTCTCGGCTCCGAAGTGCGTCTGGCGTAGTCTAGGACCCTTCAGGAAATATCAGGATATGCCTCAAACAGTCCATGGGAACGCTCTCTGCAGAGCACCTAAAATACATTCCAAGAATGTGTGGGAGTCTGTCAAACAGAAAAGAAAATGTTTCTGAAAGATGTTAACTGTTATATCTACTGAACAGCGTACGCATGGGAAGCTGCATTTTACCTGAACCATCTATCACTGCTTTCTAAAAGGCAGGTTAGCTGCACCAACAGTCACGACTTCGGAGCTTGTGCTCTATGGGCAAACAGCATGTAAAGCCAGAGTTTCAATTTTTCAAAAATTAGAGGCTTAAACTTGAATGTTAATCAATTTCCTTCTACCCCACACCAAATTCCGTAACAGACATAATGCAATTTCCTAGCATATGATAGCCATGAAAAGATAAGAAGTTTGAGTGTGTGTTGCACATATTTATGACCTGTACACTTTCGAGCAGAAGTGCCAAGTATATAAAATCACTAGATTAAATGACATACCCAATAAAACAGGCAATGACATCTAAACAGACTAAATGCCGGAGGTGATAATTACAAGGTACAGTCCAGAGTTCTCCCAGCTCTTAAGTTTGCACTCCTTATACAAAGACATTAGTAAAATCTCTAACACAATTTGTCACAGCATACAGCAAAAGGAAGCGTACTGCCAGGAAACTATTCTTAAACAGCATTTTATATATACAAGGAAGGGTGACATAGATAACTACCTAATTCATTCTTTATTATGCTTTAAAAAAAAAAAAAAAAAAAGCCCATATTTCCAGTTATTTTCTCCTTGACAAGTAAGGAGAGCTGCGACCTCAAAACATTTCTACCTGGAAGGCTGAACTAGCCTGTCTGAATCTGTGCCGCAAGTTCTACATGAGGTGACAATCCATCATCACCTAAAATCAAACCCTAGAGGCGTAAGAATAATTTGTATTGTATGGGCTGAGACAGTCCTGCTCCAACACATACACCCACAGATACACTTTAAGAGGTTTATATTTTGCTTTAGTATAAAAGACTTTCAGTGTTGAAGCTGTCTAGCTGGGACAGAAGCCCCCTAGCCCCATTTTCTGACCATTTCCACCTTGATACACAGATCCATTCACAAATGTTCCTTGATGTGTGCTGACTTAGTCATTCAGCATCAACAGTGCTAATTTTTCTATTAGGCAAACCCTAGATAACTGCGTCCTCTGTCAAAGCATCTATTGGACATTTTCAGACGGTTAAACTGGAGCAGAATCTGCTGCTTACTCCTGTTTGCTGTTTTAAAGGCAATTAATAAAAAGACACAAATGCATAGAAGGGAATTAGCTAGACCAGAGACATAGCAGAATAAATAAAGCAATTGATAGTCTTTGGCTAAATGGAGGAAAGAGACAACACCAAGTCCCCGAAAGAGGAGAGGTGCATATGGAACAGTGTTTCTAGAAATCAGGACGCTAGGAAAAGGTGGATTGGCAGCCACCAAGCTCTGTTGTGGATGTATTCCTCAAACATTTCCACGCACCGGTAGGAGTCCCACTGTTTCCAGTTTTTTAAGCAGCCCTGCCCTTCTGTTGCTTTTTTAATTAGGGAGAATCAGCAAAGAAAAACTGGAAGCTGAAGGAAAAGAAAGAAAAACAAACCGTGCTAGAACCGAATGCTGAATATAACCTGCACGTTACATTTGCAAAAGCGCATGGATAGCTTCCAAAAAGAGATTTTTTTTTTTCGTACACAAAAGAGATGACTTAGCTGTTCTGGCATGACTGCTACCCTCTCTTTTGTTTGCTTGTGCTCAAAAGCATCCGTGGTTAGAGAGAAAGCACAAAATCTAACAATTTTATTAATAAAATGGCTGAAATACAAAACAAATGTCAGAGTACTCTA